TATTCTGCCATGCTGTCCCTAAGTTCTTGAAGCAAGCCACATTTGTCCTACCCCAGTGCCTTTGCACTTGCAGGTCCTTCTGCCTAAAATGTTCCCCCATGGCTGGTTCCTTCTTATCACCTAGCGTACAACCCCTTAATGTTATGACCTTGATCCCTCGCTGGTTTTCTATGACATTTAGTTCCATTTGCACTTAGTTTGTCTGATACTTCTTTTGTCTGTCTCTTCCCACTACAGTATAGGCCCCATGGGGGCGGTCACTGTGTGTATATTTCTGTCACCAGTATGTGGCCTGCTAAACAAATATTGGTGGGAGGAAGGACGGCAGGCAGGTGGGCGGGAGGGAGGAGGGATGGAACATCCTTGTGTTAACACACAGCCAGGAGTAGTGTGGTGAGTTAACAAAGAGCGTGGGTTCTGGAACCCAAATGATTGAGTTCAAATCCCAGCTCTGCCACTCACCAGCTGTGTGACCTTGAGCAAGTCACTTAACCTCTCTGAGCCTGAGTTCCCTTATGTATAAAACAGGGACAATATGACGATGAGAACTATCTTCTCAAGTTATTCTGAGGTTTAATTGGGAATGATGCATGTTTAAAGTCCTTAAAACCCTGGCACAGCGGGAGCTATCAGCTCTTTTTAGTAATCCTTCTCTTGATCTTTCAGCCACCGCAAACTCCAGTGCAGGGTGTCAGAGAATTCACCCTGAAGATCAAGAAAAAGCAAAATAAAAGCTGCCTTCCTCCCAAGACTTGTTCTCCGGAGGACATGAGATGTTTTCGTTGTCAGGAGGAGAAGCTCTGTAGGGCAAACATCCTTCAAATCGACCACAGGGGAATTTGTACCAAGTTCCTCAAAAACAGCTAGAAAAAGACAAAAAAATAAATAAATACAGAATAGCAAGATGCTTTCTCTTTTTTCTCTGGAGCGGTCATTCGGGTCAGCTGTGAGTAGTTTCCCAAAAGTGATTCAGCTGGGAAAGAGAGTGTGCACATCCGAGCTGCCCTGTGTCTTCAAACAGCACAGAACGGCCTGCACTCACCCTGGTAACTTCGCAACCCGCCTTGGGCCCGTTTTCACAGCCTGGTGCAAGCTTAGGAATCAAACACCCCAGGTTCAAACCCCAGCTCTGACACTGCTCGGCTTGTGTGATGTTTCGCCCCTCTGAGCCTCAGTTTCTCCGTCTGTAAATGGGATTCATCTTGTGCACATCACAGGGTTATGGGACAAAAGGAGGTCAGGTTGGTGCCCAAGTAATGCAAGGTGGTGGCGGTGGTGGTGACAGTTGTCTTGCTCTTCTTCTTTCAGGGCTGCTAGGCATGAACTTGTTACATTTCTTGAGCCAGAGACATCTGGCCCTCCCGTGGGCCCCTGGCTGATTAGCAAGATGAAAACTCTCTTGAGAATTTCTTCTCTCTGTTTTCCTCTTGGGTCCCCATGTGTTAATGGCTGCCCTCTCTCCTGTGGCTAGAAGTCCCCACTTGACATATGGGCAAAGTGAGGCATTCAGAAAGGCGATGTGACGTGCCCAAGGGCCTCTCGTCTCATGGCACGGGGACAGGGTCCTGCCCCCTGTGGCGCTGCAGCAGGAGACTGGGCCCGGAGGCAGCAGGGCGGGCAGGAGTCTGGGTTGGGACAGAGCAGGGGTCCCACGCTCAGCCCTATGGGCGGGTCGGCTCAGGAGTGAGGGAGACAGGCCGGTTTGCAAAGCCTGGAAGAGGGGCGTCCATGGGACCCTGGGCGTGTCTCTGGCCCTTCTCTCTGAGCTGAGGGGCTGGACTGGGCCGCCACAGGCCCCCTGGGGCCAGTTGTGTCACCTCTTCACACCTTGGGGCTTCAGTTTCCACACCTGTGAGATGTGGTGGCTCCCGGCCACACTGCCTGCCTCATGGGTCGTGACTGTGAGGCCTGTGGGGATGATGTCACCTGTCCCCAAGAGGCAAATGTCACGTTGCCGGCCCCAGTCCCCTAGCGGGTGACCTTTGGCGACAGTGGGCGCCTGCTGGAGAGCCGGCCCCCTCCCACCCCCTTCTCACTCCCTCGAGGCGGGGCCAGCCCCGGGCGGGCGGGGTGGGGCGGCGGGCAGCTCACCACATCCTCCGCTTCCTCCCCGCGCTGCACACGCGGGACGGCAGCCAGCCGCCTCAGACAGACCCACCGGCGTCCCTGCCGAGTGACTGTGGGCCGGGCGTCCGGCTGCCTGCCCGCTTGCCCCTGAGCGCGAGCCACGGCCACGCGCTGTCTGTCTGTCTGCCGGCCTGTCCATCCCTGGCGCCCACGGCTGCCTGTCCCTGCCCTGCCACCTCCCTCCTCCGCCTGGCTGCCCTGGCTGCCTGCGTGGGGCGGCCGCCCCGAGGCCCGGCCGGCTGCGCCACCCAGCCTGGGTGACAGGCCTATGTCTGTGTGGTTGGGGCGTCAGGGCCGCTTGCGGACCCCCACCCCAGGCCCCTGCCTGCTTTCTCGGGCCCCACGCCGAGCCCAGCCGCCACCCCTGGGAGCCCGCCGGATTGCCGCCAGCGCGCAGGATGGATTTCTGAGGGAGCCACTGAAACTGCAGGTAAGGGGACTGCAGCCGGGCCCTCCTCCGCCCAGGAGGGTCTGTTCTCCCGCATCAGCGGCACCGTGGCAGGCTCTGGGGAGTCTCGTGCCCCGGGCAGGGCTAGGGACACAGAGGCACAGAAGCCTCTTGCAGTGAGGCCGGCAGAGTTGGGGTTGGAGTCCCTGACTCAGCCAAGCCCGGCGGCTGGGGGCCGGGCAGCAGGGACGTGGCCCGTAGGACCCCCTCCCCGGAAGCCAGCTTCCAGACGCAGGGGCTTGGGGGCTGAAAGCCAGTTTCCGGCCAGCCCTGATGTAACAAGCCCCCGGCCTCTGGGCAGCCCGCCGGGCAGCGATGGGCACCGGTGGGGGGTGAGGCAGGCCGGCACCAGCTTCGGGCCAGCTTCTGTGTTTTCTCACTGTCAGTCCATCTCATCCTTCCAGACTGGGGTTGCTGTGCCCATTTCACAGATAAGGAAGTGAGGTTTCGGGAGAAAGAGTGACGTTTGCTTGGTGACTCAGCTAGGACGTGGCAGGGTGGGCCATCAAGCCAGGTGGCCCCATGAGCTGTCACTTTTCCCGTGAAGCACAGGGTGGGAGCCAGATGATAGGAGGCTGACCTGGCTCTGTGTGCGAGTGGAGGCCAGGGGAGGCTGAGCCTCGAAGGTTGGGAAAGAAAGAAACGGGCAGACGCGTTCCTGGTGGAGGAGCCCCGGGGAGAGGAGGCCAGGATGGAGCCCCAGACTTGTTGAGGGATGACTAGTCGCTGCCCAGCCGGAGCAGGAGGCCAAGTGCAGGGACACTGCAAAGCCACAGGGCTGCTCCTGGGAGAACGTCCGTGCTCCCGGTGGGGAGGGCCGGGTGTCAGAGGCACACGTGGAGCGGGAGAAACCCGTGGGCAAAACCTGGCCATGTGACTTTCAGGCTGGGTGAACTCGGGTAAGTCTCTCTGCTTCTTCTAGCCTCATGGAGCCTCAGTTTTCTCGTCTGTAAAATGGACCTAAGGCGGTGTCTTCCTCGTGGGGCCGTCTGTGAGGGCTCCTGGGCATAACCATGTGCACGCTGGGATGGCAGAGGCCCCCTCCCTCCCCGCTCAGAAGGGAGTTTGCGTCATGAGGGACCTTGAGCCTGTGGGGGGAAGGGCCGGACTCCAAGAGCGACAGGGGGCACAGGGACACGTTAGGGGGGCCGTGGTCCTGCCTTCCCCGGCCCTTGGGCTCTGCTCCTCCGGCACCGGCTCACCATATTGGAGGCGCTGGGAGTCTCCCACAGTCCTCACGGCATAAGGTGAGGCTGTGGCCTCATTCAGCCCATTTCACAAATGAGGAGACTGAGGCTCATTGGGGCCAACCTTGCCCCAGGTTAACTGGGACCGGGAGGTGTGGGGCTGGGGTCGGACCCCTGTCCGTATGACGGCAGGGCCACACCTGCTGGATAGGGGAAAACAAGAATGAGACTCGCGGCGCGGGGGCACCCTCGGAGAACGGGCACTGGATCAGGGTGGCTGGGCCCCCTGAGCCCTGAGCCTCCCGTCCCCCGCTGGCAGAAGGTCGGGTCCTTGCTCAAGCCCACAGCGGGGCAGCTAAGAGCTTCCTGAGGGGACCTGGCCAGATCCAGGCCGCACGGCTGAGCGGGGCCCTAGGGAAGAGGGCGGGAGGTGGGGCGGGCACCAGTAGGGGCTTGTGGCCGGTGGCCAGTGGCCGGTGGGCGGCGGGCGGAGGAGGCGGCCAGCCAAGGGAAGATGGGAAAGAGGAACCCAGGCCGCAGGGCTCTGGGAGGCGCCCGCCTCTGGCAGCATCAGGACCAGCACACGCCTGGCGAGTAAACACACGAATAGGCAGAAGGTGCGTCCCTTTCTTCCCGGCCGCCCGGGAGCTCGCGCCTTCAGCATCCTCGCGCGGGCCCGGGGGCCCTTCTCCAAGCAACTGGGGGTCCCCGCCGTCCAGGGGTGCCGGACCTGGCTTACCCCAGGCCACCCATTGTGATTTGGGGCTTCGGAGTCAGCCAGACCTGGGTTCGAGTCCCAGCCCCACCACTTGGCACCTGTGTGACCCTGGGGAAGCCACTTGAGGTCTCTGAACCTCAGCTGCCCCTCGATCTGTGACTGGAGGACATGCTGTAAGTGAGAGGAGTGAGGGCGCCAGTCTCGGCTTTGTCGCGCGGCCGTACTCAGCATGTACGTGTCGCGCACCTGCTAGGGGTCGGGCCCCTGCGCGGGTCCTAGGGTTCTCGGTGCAAGGCAGACAGTGACAGAGGGGAGAGGGCCCAGCCGTGCCCCGCAGGCGGCCCACAGCGACGGGGGCTGTTACGTCTTACTTCGCTGCTGCTGGTGGCAGTCTGCTAGTTCACCTGCTCCAGCTTCTGACACAGACGGGGCCCCAGCGATGACAGCTCTTGTGACAGTTCTACTCCCCCTGTTTGCAGATGGGGAAACTGAGGTTCAGAGAGGGGTGGGGAATTTCCGGGGTCACTCGGGGAGTCCTCTAGAAGGGGAGGGAAGAAAGCCGTGAAGGCGAATGGACGCTTCGTTGAGGAAGAGGGTCTCCCCGGCCTCACCGCCCCTCCCTCGCGCGGTTCTCCTTCCCCGGCCTCCAGCGGCCCCAGTCACTGGAAGGCCGTGCGGGGGGAGCGCTGGGGCAGCCCCACCCCACGGCCCACAGGTGCCACCGCCCCCACTCCTGCCCTGGCCCCGGGCCAAAGGGACTTTTCAGACAGCTCAAATGAGAGCTCTGAGTAAACTTGGAACTTCTGAAACCACCTGAGAATATTCCCCGGGGTGGGGGCAGGGGCCCCTGGAGGCCCCGTCGGCCCGGGACATCTGCACCAGCCTGCCGGTCCCTGCAGCTGCAGGAGGGGTCCGGCCGCCACATCCAGATTGTCCCCAGAGAGGTAGGGCAAGTCACCAACCTGGCTTCCCCCTGCAGGCTTTGTGCCCATGGACAAGGCCCTGGGCCTCCCTTTCCCCATCTGCCAAGTGTAGACCAGGGCAGTGTAGACGAGGGCCCTCCAGTTTTCTCTAGTAACACTGGGTCTCCTTCGGCCAGGGCCAGGGCAGGCTGGGGGGGCGCTGGGAGTGGAGGAGACAGAGGGCAGGTCGCCAGCCCGGCCCGGGGTCCCTTCCTGCGGCTGCAGCAGTCACGGTTCAAAGCGTCCTCTCTCTGCTTCACTGCCAGACCCCGGGTCCGGAGAAACGCAGCTGGAAGGAGGTATGGCCGCAGGCGCTGAGAGAGCCTGCACAGTCTGGGCAAGGGCCCGGGGTGATACAGGTCATAGCGGGCAGGGGTTGCTCAGTCAGCATGAGGCTGCAGAGTCTGGGACAGGCTCCTCAGCTAGGAGAGGCTGCACAGGCTGGAAGGAGTTGCAGGAGGGAGAGATCGCTCTGGCTGGGAGAGATGGACAGGCGGAGAGGTTGCACAGGCTCAGGGGTGGCATGGGTTGTGGGGTCAGGCCCTTCCTGTCACCTTTGGCTCCTACTGACTAAGCTGTAAGCTTAAGGTCCCTGGCACACCTGTCCTCAGACACCCTCGCCACTGGAAAAAAAAAAAAGTGAAAAGCAACTAGCATTGACCGCACACCTACAGTGTGTAGCACCTGCCTCCTCGCAGTCCCCAGCCAGGCCAGGGCCACTGCCCCACCCTGCAGGTGAGGACAGCTGAGGCTCAGAGAAGGAAAGAGCTGTGGCCACAGTCCCACCGGGAGTTAGTGGCAGAACCTCCTTTCTGATCCAGGGCCACCGGGCTAGCTCTTCCCAGGCTGAGGACTCTGCTGTGTGACCCTGGGCAACCCGCTATCCCTCTCTGAAAATTCCTCTTTACTAATCTGATGACAGCAGTCGCGATCACTCAGTTTCTGCCAGCTGAGGGTGTTGCTGAGGGTGAGGTGGGGTCAGTGAGGAAGCTGATGGGGAAACCAAGGCCACTCGGGGGCTGCCTCGGTGCCTGCACCACAATCCTTCGTCCCATTCATTCATCCATTCATTCATTCATTCATTCCTGCACTCAGCATTCTTCTTCAGCAACTCGTTGAGCACCCAGTGTGCTCCAGGTCCCCCCATTCCATGCACTGGGGGTGCCATGGTGGGCAGAACAGGCAAGTGACCCAAGCAAGCTCTGGGGGCCTTTACTCCGGCATGGAGACAAGTCATAAACACAAAGCAGAAGCAGAGAGATTTGGTAACCTAATCGTAGCATTACAGTTGCTGTGAGGGAGACAGACGAGGGGACGTTTGGTGCAGAGAGCCTCAGAGGAGACCCACGTCAGGGCAGACGGCCTCCTCGGAGAGGCAGCCCTGAAGTTGGAACCTGAGGATGAAAAAGCAAAGAAGCTGGGGAGGTGATCTAGGCGGAGGGAAAGGCCTGTATGTGCAAAGGTCCTGAGGCAGGGGAGAGGTTGGATCCTTGGAGCTTTTATCCTCCTTGAGCACATAGGCTCCCACTGCCTTGAATTTAAGCCAGAAGAGCCGAAAAGAAGATTTAACCTTGGAGTGTATAGTCTACGTAGGTTTTAACATGGAGGGTAATCCGCACAATGCATTACCATTAAAGCTTTCTCTTTCATTTAGTCATTCCTGTGACCAATGTTTTGAGCACCTACTATGTGTCAGGCACTGGTTAGTCACCGGGGATCCAGCGGCAACCAAGCAACACATGGTCCCTGCCGTGACGGTGCTCAGGATGTAAACGAAAACACCCGAGCCGTGCGCGCCGGTGGAGGGGGCGCTGCAGAGGAAGGAGTGACTCACACTTCTTGGAGAGGTCAAACACTGGCAGAGGAGGTGACATTTGAATGGGACTTTGGAGATTGAGTAGGAGGCTGACAGCCAACCAGGGCGGAGAGTTCCGGCAGCTGAAATAGAACACGCAAAGGCGTGGGAGCCCGATGAACGGGGCATGTCGGCGGGGCTGCCGCAGTCCCGTGTGCCCGGGGTCCGGGAGGAATACTGGGGGCCAGATCCCGAAACGTCTAGAATGCTGGGCTTCCCTGCAGGCCATTGGGAAGCGGAGGCTGAACCCAGGAGTGGGCGGGAGGAGGCGCAGCTGCAGGTCGGTAGGTCGGGTCGGGAGGCCGGGAGGCCGGGAGGCCGGGAGGCCGGGAGGCCGGGAGGCCGGGAGGCCGGGAGGCCGGGAGGTCGGGAAGGAGGACCTGGCAGGACAGCAGGTGGCAGAAATCCTTGGAGACCCAGGAGAACAAGAGAGCTCTCTCCCCTGTGTTCCCTCTCGGGAAGTCCCTCGGTCTCGGCACTTCCCTTTCTGGTGACCTGCTGGCTCTTGTTCCTGGCACTTCTGGGGAGTCCCTCTTCACCCCTCTCATTTCTTCTTGGTCCCCAGGGGAACGGGCCCTTTTACTTTCACCACGCTCCTCACCTTTCACAGGCAGGCGCCCGCCCCCACCTGGGTCACGCTGGAGAGCACGCTGGCTTGAGAGACTAGGAGGATCCCTGTCCTGAATCGCCAGCAAGGGAAAGAAGTTTTGGGGAAACCGAGAACTTGGGTTCTTTCCAGTTTGGGGAGGTTGTAGATAAGGCTGCCGTGAGCACGCTGGCTCATGTTCGCTCGGAGGAATGCATCCACGTTTCTCTTTGGTGCATGACCTAGGAATGGAAGTGTTGGGCGCAATGTCGAGTGCAGTGTCCCGCAGTGGTCGTGTCAACTCACGCTTGGGCCAGAACACTGGCTAGAGATGGAGAGTTTGGTTACGCTAGCTCCTTTCCAGCACTCGGAATGGTCTTTATTTTTCATTGTATACTTAATCCTCCCCCTCCCACCACCATTTCAGTTTCTTTTCCATTCTCTTCGTGGAAACTTTTGGTAAGGAAATAGTCTTAATTTTAATGGAGTCCAATTGATCAGTGTTTTTCTTTGGGGCTAGAGCTTTCTACGTGATGTTTGAGAAGTATTGCCTGCGCTAAGGTTATGAAACTGTCATCCTATGTTTTCTTCTAGATTATCTAATATTTTACTTTTCTCATTTGGGTCTGCAATCTACCTGGAATTTATCTTTCTGTATGGTGTGAGATAGGGATCAAGGCTCATTTTTCCCACATGAATATACAACCAGTATGCCATCTTTTAAAAAATGTTATGTTTTCTCCACTTGTTTACAATGGTGCCCTTACTGAAAATCAAGTGGTTATACATGTGTATTTATTTCTGGAGTCCCTATTCTTTTTCAATGGTCAGTTTGTTTTTCCTTGCAACAATGCCATACTTTTTAAATTACTTTATAAGTCTTGACATTCTTCTTCAAAATTGCCTAAACTATTTTCAACCCTTTGCATTTCTATATAAATTTTAGAAATATCTTGTCAATTTCCACCAAAGAAAATCCTGCTGGGGATTTTTTTTTCTTTGAGCATTGAGATTTTATGGAAACTTTAGTTCCATTTGGAGAGAACTGACATTTTTAAAATATTAAATTTACCAATCCATGAACACAGTATATACCCCCACTTATTTATATTTTCTTTAATTTTTCTTAGTAATGTCTTATAGGTTTTTGTGTAGAAGTCTTGCCCATGTTTCATTAGATTTCTTCTTGGGTGTTTGATCTTTTGATGCTAATGTAAATTACATAATTCTAAAATTTCATATTTGTTATTAGCATATAGAAATGTAATATTTTTTTTCATTTTTATAACCTTATTAACACACTTTTCAAGCTAGAGTTCCAGATGTATGAAGAAATAGCTGCCAACCCCAGCCCACTTCAACTGTCCACCAATTAGGAACTTTCTGCCTTTGCTTTTATAATGTTCATAGACCTCTTTGTCTACTTATGAGAGAGGGTATGATGAAGCAAAGCAGTGTCTCAGACTTGGATTTAATTAACCAGTAGATTTTTTTCCACTCAACAATTTTTAAGTGTACAGTACAGTATTGTTCACTATGTGCACATTATTGTATAACAGATCTCTAGAATTTTTTCATCTTGCATGAGTGAAACTCTATACCCATCGAACAACAACTTCTCGCTTTTCCCTTCCCCCAGTCCCTGGCAATCATAAGTCTACTTTCTGTTTCTATGAGTTTGATTTACTGTAGACACATCATGTAAGTGTAATCATGCAGCATTTGTCTTTTTGTAATTGGTTTATTTCACTTAGCACAATGTCCTCAAGTTTCACCTATGTTGAAGCATATGACAATATTTCCTTCTTTTTAAATGCTGGATAATATTTCATTATGTGTATATACCACATTTTGTTTACCTATTCATCTGTCAATGAATATACCACATTTTGTTTACCTATTCATCTGTCAATGAATTTAGGTTGCTTGCATGTCTTGGCTATTGTAAATAATGCTGTAGGTAAACATGGGTGTGCAAATATCTCTTTGATGTGCTGCTTTTATTTCTTTGGATATATACCTGGTATTTCTATTTTTTATTTTTAAAATATTTTAAAAGGTTTTGCACCATTTTATAATCTCACCAAAAGTACACATGGATTCCAATTCTCCACATCCTCAACACTTGTTATTTTCTGGGATTTTTTTTTTTATTATTATTATGGCCATCCTAACAGGTGTGAGATGCTATTTCATTGTGGCTTTGATTTGCATTTCCCTAATGATTAGTGATGTTGATTATCTTTTCATATGCTTGTGAGCCATTTGCTTATCTTCTTTGGAGAAATGTCTGTTCAAGTCCTTTGTCCATTTTTAAATTGTGTCATTTTGTTACTGTTATTGAATTGTAGGAGTTCTTTATATATGTTGGATATTAACTCCTTATCTGATATGTGGTTTGCAAATATTTTCTCCCATTCTGTAGGTTGCCTTTTGACTCTGTTGACTATTTCCTTTGCTGAACAGAAGTTTTTTTTAAGTTTTATGAAGGCCCATGTGTCTATTTTTGCCTTTGTTGCCTGTGATTTTGGTGTCATAGCCAAGAAATCATTGCCAATTTCAATGTCATGAAGATTTTTCCCTACACTTTCTTCTAGGAGTTTTATACTTTCAGGTCTTATGTTTAGGTCTTTAATCCACTTTCAGTTAATGTTTGTATATGGTGTAAAATAAGGATCCAACTTGATTCTTTTGCATGTGGATATTCACTTTTCCAGCACTATTTCTTGAAGAGACTATCTTTTTCCCCTTGTGTAAACTTGGAGCTCTTGTAAAAGATCATTTGACCATTCCACAAGGGTTTATTTCTGGGCTCTCTACTCTGTTCCATTGGTCTATATGTCTGTCATGATGCCATTATAATGCTGTACTGATTACTGTAGCTTTTCTGAAATCAAGAAATGTGAGGCTTCCAGCTTTGCTCTTCTTTCTCAAGATCGTTTTTGCTATTTAGGGTCCCTTGAGATTCCAATTGAATTTTAGAATGGACTTATTTCTGTAAAAAATGCCATTGGGATTTTAACAGGGATTACATTATATCCATGGTTTGCCTTGGGTAGTATTATCATCTTAATAATATTAAGTCTTCCAATCTATGAACATGGGATGTCTTTCCACTTATTTGTGTCTTTTTAAATTTCCTTTGACAATGTTTTGTACAAGACTTTCTCCTTCTTGGTTAAGTTTATTCTAAGTAGTTTGCTCTTTTGGATGCTATTGTAAATAAAATTGTATTCTTAATTTTCTTTTTGGATTGTTCATTGTTAGTATACAAAATGCAACTGATTTTTGAGAGTTTGTTTTGTATCCTGCAACTTTGCTGAATGCTTGTATTAGTTCTAACAGTTTTTTCTAACCTTTAGGGTTTTCTACATACAAGAACATGTCATCTGTGACGGAGGTAATTTTAATTTTTCCTTTTCAATTTAGATGCTTTTTAATTCTTTTTATTGCCTAATTTCTCTGGCTAGGACTTCCAGTATTATGTTTAATAGAAGTGGCAAGAGTGGACATCATTGCCTTGTTCCTGATCTTAGGGGAAAAGCTTTTAGCTTTTCACAGTTGAGTATGTTAGCTGTGGGCTTTTTATATGTGAACTTTATTATGTTGAGGTAATTTATTTCTGTTTCTAGTTTTTTTTTTTTAGTGTTTTTTAATCATAAAAGTGTGTTGATTTTGTCAAATGCATTTTCTGCATCAACTGAGATGATCACATGATTTTTGTTCTTTGTTATGTTAATATTGTAAATTATATTTTTTGCTTTTTGTAATTTGAACCATCCTTGCATTCCAGGGATCAATCCCACTTGGTCATGGGATATACTATTTTTAATATGTTGTTGAATTCAGTTTGTTAGTATTTTTTTGAGTATTTTTGCATCAATATTCATCAGAAGTATTGGTCTGCAGTTTTGTTTTCTTGCATCTTTGTTTTGCTTTGGTATTGGGGCCTCATAAAATGAGTTTGAAAATGTTCTTTTCCCTTTAATTTTTTGGAAGAGTTTGAGAAAGAGTGATGCTAACTCTTTCTCAAATGTTTGGTAGAATTTTCCGGTGAAGCCATCTGGTTCTGAGCTTTTCTTTGTGGAGAGGTTTTTAATTACTGATTCAGTCTCCTTTCTCATTGCAGGCCTAGTCATATTTTCTTTTTTTTTTTTTCATGATTCAGTCTTGGTAGGGTGTATGCTTCTAGGACTTTATCAATTTCTTCAAGGTATCCAATTTGTTGGCATATGATTGTTCATATTATCTGCAAATTGGAATAGTTTACTGTTTCCTTTCTAATCTGGATGTCTTTTATTTCTTTTTCTTACCTAATTGCTTTGGTTAGAACCTCTGGTAAAATTTTGCGTAGAAGTCATGAGAGTGGACATCCTTGTCTTATTCATGATCTTAGGGGCAAAGCTTTTATTTTTTCACCATTAAGTAAGATGTTGACTGAGGTATTTTAATATATTCCTAATCATATTGTCCTGGCCTTCATTTTTTAAATGATATTTTTGCTACATATAAAATTCTAAGTTGGGCTTTAAAAATTCAGCTTTTAGAGAAGTTGTTTTATTGTCTACTCTCTTCCATCATTTCTATTGGAAAGTTAGCTGACAGTCTTATTATTTCTTTTTTGAAAGTGAAGTATCTTTTTTTTCAGCATACTTTAAGAATATCTGTCTTAAATTTTTAAAAATAGATTTTCTATGATATGCCTAGATGTGTGTTTCTTTCTATTTATTCTTTTTGTGATTTGTAGAGCTTTCTGAATCTGTAGCTTAATGTCTTTTGTTAGTTTGGAAAAGTTCTTAACCAGTGTCTCTACTATTGCCTCTCTCTTTTCTTTCTTAACTTCAAATGTATGCATGTTATAGCTATTTACAATGTCTCATATGTCTCGTTTGCTCTTTTCTGTGTTTTTAAACTTTTTTTCAGTATAGCTTCAGTCTGGGTATTTTCTATTGACCAATCTTCCACTATTAATTTTCTCTTCTAATGTTGATAATCTGTTGCTAAATCCATCTCTTCAGTTTTTATACATTTCAGTTATTATATTTTTAAGTTCTAGGATTTCTATTTTTTAAATAGATTCTATATTTCTAATATAATTCTTTTTTTTTTTTTGCAATAGAGTCTCACTCTCTTGCCCTGAGTAGAGTGCCGTGGCATCAGCCTAGCCTAGCTCCAGCAACCTCAAACTCCTGGGCTCAAGCCATCATCCTGCCTCAGCCTCCTGAGTAGCTGGAACTACAGGCATGTGCCACCATACCCAGCTAATTTTTCTATTTTTAATAGAGATGGGGTCTCTCTCATGCTCAGGTTGATCTCAAACTCCTGAGCTCAAGCAATCCTCTTGCCTTGGCCTCCTAGAGTGCTAGGATTATAGGCATGAGCCACTGTGCCTGGCTTTCTAGTAGAATTCTTGAACATACTAATCATAGTTATTTTAAACTGTTTCTGATAATCCCATTTCCCCCAATCACCTGCCTGTTTCTATTGTCCTTTTTAAAAATCTTTGTTATTGATCATTCGATGCTGTTTCCTGGTTTGCCTTGTAATTTTAATTGTGTGCTAGACATTGTGTATGCAGCTATGACGGAGTAGCTGGTATTGGACTAATCCTCCCATCCATGGCAGTGCTGGGATTTGAGCTGAGGCAGGCCACTCCACGGTCTGTGTTTTAACCAACATGGCTCACACTGCCTTGCCTTTTTCTACTAGTTATCTGTTAACGGTAGTGATATAATATTTTCTTTTGACACATGCTTACTGGAGTAAGAAATGGGAGGCAAGGTAGAGTTGAATAGCAAGTGGATAATAGCACCAAAGGAAACTTTGAAGGCAATAAGGGAGTGGCAAGAGTTCTGGAACGTTCCAATGTGGCTTCGGGGATGGAGCAGGTGGGCTGTGAGAGCTGGAGCTTAGATGATGGGTGCGGGGAAGGTATTCAAGGAGAGGGCTCCGCTTGTGCAGAGGCAGAGGCACATGGCAGGGCCTCGGGTGCCAGGAAGGTGCTGAGTAATTCCAGGCAGCTGGATGGTAATATTAGGAAGCCAGCCCCCAGCACAGCACTTCACAGCTCACAAAGCACCACCGCTTCTGCTTTCTCAAGGACTCTTCTTAACTGCCAGGCGCAGTGGGCATTGTTGTCCCCATTTTTGAGATGGCAACTGAGGTCAGAGAGTGGAAGAGCCAGAGAAGAGCTGCTGTCTGCCTCAAGATCCTCTGGCTTCAAAGTCTACTCCACTGTGTCAGATATCTTTGGTAGCAAGCAACAGAAATATACTTGAATGTGTCTGAGCAACACAGGTGTTCATTGGCTCCTAGAAATAAAAAGTCCAGGGGTGGACATCAGATATGGCTGGATCCAGGTCCTCACGTGATGCTATAGGGATTCTGGATTGGTATTCTCAATATTGACATCGTTTTCAGGCAGGGTCTCTCTAAGAGGCAATAGAGATGGCTACAAGCTTCTAGCAGGTACCAAAGAAATGCACCTCTTTGCTAGAGTTCTAGAAAAAAAAACAAAAAAAAACACCCAGGACTTCTCTTATTGGCCTTGACTAGGTTGATGTCCACCCCTGATCCAATCACTGTGGCCAGACAGAGGGGGTGCTTGGATTGGCCAGGCCTGGGTCAGGTGCCCACTCGTGGAGCAGGGCGTGGAGTCGGCTCTGCCCGAAGCATTAGAGAATGCTCCAGATTGGGAGCTCCTCAAAAGGTGGGGCAGGGAGAGATGCCAGCCAGACAGAAGCAACAGACCCTTCCTCTGCATCCCCAGGGCCCTGCAATCTATGGAGAGCTAGGGAATTTGGAGGGATGAGGAGCCTTGCATCTGGCAAAGGAGTTTGCACTTCGCCTGTGGTTGAGATGGAGGCACTGGGGAGTGGCGTGGGCAGGGCTGTCTGTGCCGGGCCTTGTGCCGGGGCTGGGGTCACAGACGTGGACCCGACAGTGAGGCGCAGACACAGACCCCCCCTCCTGCGATCGGAGGTCACAAGGCTTGCGGCCACGCGGGCTCAGCCTTCCTTAAAGCAGGCTTAAAGGGCACCTATCTGCCCCAACATCATTTTATTTTAATAGTGATGTTATTCATTTCAAAGTGTGTTATAAAAAACACACAACCACGGACGTTACTGGAGTTAAGTTTTTAAGTGAGTTCATTCATAGAAAATATGCTAAGTAAATAACACAGGGCACACAGTGTACAAATAGGTGTACAAAATTTTGTACACAGTGTACAAAATTTTGAAAGTGAGAAATTGTGCAACCTCATGGCTAGTTCATTCTGGGACCCCCCTCCATCTCTGGGGCTCTAAATTCTCTGTCCATCGCAGCTGTTTATCGAGTGTTAATATGTCAGGGGCCACATCCAGGGTTTTTTGCAGTTCTCGAATCCTCACAAGAATCCTGGACGCAGGCTTTACTGTTGCCACTTTATAAGGCTCAGAGAGGCAAGGGACTTGCCTGGAGCCACACAGCCTGTGTCCTTCGACACTGCTTCCTTGGTGACTTTGTTAGGAAGGTCAGAGGGAACTAAGGATGGAGCCAGAGTAGAATCTGGGGGACCCCAGTAGCGGGGACGGGGAGCTTCCGATCGTGGGGTCAGGGATGGTGTCTGGGAAGAGCCGTGCATGTGATTGGGTCCTGCATGGGACACCCCTCTAGCCTCTAGTTCCAGCTACACCCCTGCATGGGGTGGGGCCTGTCTGTCTGGGTGGACCTGCTGGCCTCTGGCTGGCACCTCCCCAGACACACAGCTGGAAGGTGCAGCAGGCAAGGTGCCAGCCTGGCGGGTCGTTCCCCTGCCGAAGGGTCAAAGGCCACTCTTCCTGGATACACTCACCCTGCTGCCCAGAGAGCCTCCATCTCGGCCAGAGTCATGAGTCCAGGCTGCCTTTGTCTGGCAGGCCTGGCTTCCCTGGCGTGCCCCGTGGCGTCTCCGTGAGGGCTAGCCTTGGGTGTGTCCCTCCGTAAGAAGCCCAGGGTTGTTTATGGGAAGGAGAGCTCAAGGTTGCTGCTGTCCAAGCCGTTGCCTTCTTCCCTCCCTCTCTCCCGCCTCCATCCCCCTCTCTCTCTTCCTGGGGTAGATAAACACCAGTTTGGTCTCAAGTCAGTGGGCCTAGCAAAGGCAGAAGAGCAGCAGTCTCCCCCTCTTCCACCTCCGGCAGGGACTGTGCCCACGCAGGGAGGCAGAGGGAGAAATGGGGAAGGACCTGCAGGGGAATCACCCACGTCTAAGGGGCAGGATCGCTCGGGGGCATCCATGGGACCCTCACATTTTTGTTCTTTTGAGACAGAGCCAAGAATCAGAGGCAAGTCTGCCCAGCAAGGGACAGGGACAAGCGGGAGCCCCCAGGCCTGGACCACCCTCCCGCAGGCCCCCCGCCGGCCCCTGGAGCCAGCATGCCCTGTGGCTGGACGGCCCTTCTGCTCCTGCTGGCGCTGCAGGGCGGTAAGTAGCTGCCCCAAGTCTGTGGCGGGGGAGGGCCCCCTCCCCCCCCTGCAAAGCTGAGCTGGGGCCCAGCTGGCCTTGTGGGCTCTGGGATGTGGTTAGAGTCCAGGAACCCGGAATCTGTGGCCTCTGTCTGCCGGAGGCTGATGCCAGTTGCAAGCAGGTGACCCTCCCGTTAGCCAGAACCCATCCAGCCAGAGCTCCGTGAGCTGGGGGCGGCTCGTGCGGGTCTGCAGTGAGACTGGGAGGCCGCGGGACTTCATCCTTCCTTTCTGTTGCTTTCTGCCTTGGCTGGCTCCCAGCCCTCAGAGGGAGGAAGTCCTGCCTTTGGTCTAACCTCAGTTGCTCCTTATGTAATGACTTTCCTTGGAGATGTTTTTCAATAGTAGTCACTGGATCCTCAGGAGGCACTGGCGTTTCCCAGGGGGCGGGGGGAGGGGAGGGAGAGACAAAAGGAGCCAAAGCGATGGCAGGAAGTCCCGCCAGGGGGACCAGGAGATGCTGCAGTCACAGGGAGAGACGTTGGAGCCCAGAGCTGGCAAGGCCAGGAGTCCCAGTGCGGAGGCACTGCCCAGAGCCAAGAGATCCAGGAGGGCTTCCTGGAGGAGGGGGCCACGAGGAGGCGGGATGCAGCCAGGGCTTGCACAGAGGCTGGCCCAGGGGCAGGGGCAGGGCGGGAACTCAGCTGCTGCCCTGCTGACTCATAGGCATTTTTTCTGGTTTTTACCAAAAGACCCAGCGCCTCAAATAGCTCCTTCAGGAAACACATGTCAGGAGTTTATTTTCCCCTTTTGAGTGGCCAGCATCACCCGCTGTGGCTCAACACCTCGCAGGGAGCAAGTAGCAAGCCCCTGCTGTATACTGAGCCCTGAGCGTCACCTCATTCCATTCTCCCCACGGCCCTGCGAGGTCCCAGCTGCAGTGAGGCCCGGCCTTTAGTTGAGGACGCTGAGGCTCAGAGCGGATGGGGAACAGGTCCAGGTCACACGGCCGGGCGGCGGCAGGGCTGGGACTGGCTCCCGCCTCTCACAGCCTGTTTTAGGGCCTCCGTGCCACTGTAACAAAACACCTGTGACTGGGCAATTGCTACATAGGAGAAGTCTATTCCGCACCGTTCTGGGGGCTGGGAAGTCCAAAGTCAAGGCGCCAGCAGGTCCGGTGTCTGGTGAGGGCCCTGCCTCTGCTTCCAAGGCGGCACCTGGAACACTGTCCCCTCGCCTGGCAGAAGGGACGGAGGGGCAAAAAGGGGCCAAGCGCTGGTTCCCTCCAGCCCTTTTAGAAGGCCACCCATTCATCTGCACAGGCTCTGCCCGCAGGCCTTGGTCACCTCCCAAAGGCCCCGCTGCTTAGTGTGAGCGCGCTGGCGATTGAGTTTCCACACGTGAGTTCGGGGACGCACACATTCAAACCACAGAGTGGCCCTAGCCACCGGGCTCTGCTGCTGCCTGGTGAGTGGCCACTGCGCGCAGGCAGTGTGTCCCCCGTCATCTCATGTCACCCCCTCAGCAGCCTCTGGGGGCGCTGTGTCTCCAGTTTGCAGACAGGGAGGGGAGGCGGTTTTGAGTCACATGTCCCTGGTCGCAGGGCTGGGAAACGGCACTGCCACTTTGATCCTGCCCCAGGTGTGGGGTGGCCAGGGCACCGGCTGGCTTTGTCACTCCCTCTGGTCCCCGAAGCCATTTCAGGGGCTGCTGTTCCCTCCCCAGTGTTTCATCCCAAGTTTGGGGACAAACGTTTGAGCCTCCACGTTCCTGGAGCCCTGAGGGAGAACAACCAGGGCACAAACTCAGAGGAGACACAGCCGTCTGGAGGCTTCTGCAGCCCTGGGTTTAGATTCTGCCAGAATCAGTCCCCTTTCTCCTTGAAGTGCTCGAACCAGCCCCTCTGCGTCCTGACAGCAGGTCCCTCGTGCCTCCCCGAGGAATGCCCCCTCCTAGAGCAAAATTCTTTCCCACGACTCAGACCCCTTGGTAGTGGCTGCCTGGAGGACCGTGTTGAGAAGGATCCTGAGGCTGCACCTAGGGGAGAGTGCTGTGGTCGATTAGCAATGTCTGCCACGCGTGCGGATAAGGAGCATGGTCTAGGTTCTGCCTTCCCTGGCTGCGGGTCGCAGGGCCCAGACCGAGACAGGCACGGGGCGTGGTCTTGTCTTGGAGCCTCAGTGTTCTCATCTCTACAATGGGGTGGATTAAAGGACATTTCCAGCAACAAAGTCCTTGGCTCCCAATCCAGGTTCTGACCACAGTGAGACCTGGGAGGGAACGTGCCACTGCCTCACGGGTCTTCATTCGTCCAGGAAAACAGGAAAAGCCACTGAAAATGAATCCACTTCGAATGAGGAACACGTTTTTTCATACCTAGTGGGGGGAGAATAGTGGCATTGGTAGTTGACTTGACAAAACAAAAGTACAAATCTTGAAGTTTATTTTGTCAAACATTTAACAAAATCTAGATTATGATTGTGCCCCTATTTTGGAACACAGTGAAACAATGAATGTTAGGGGAGTGGGAAGGTATTAAATCTTCCACCAAAATTGCCCGACGGGGCAATACATTGTCACTTCTTGGTGGCGGTGGTGGTGGTGTCATTTTGGCCGTAGGATAATACAGACATTTTTGCAAAAGTATCCCAGGGCTTCTCAGTTTCCTCACGTTTTCCTGCCCCGTGAAGCCTTCCTGCGTCTCTGAGGCCCACGCCCTGGGGACCGGTGGCCGCAGAGCTGAGGACTCTGAGGAGTTTTCAGCACCGCTGACTCCGTGAGGCCCGGACCCTCTCGGGGAGTGCGGGTTTGTGCTCGCTGTGTCGGCCCCACATCTGGGACACTCAGGACATGCCACTCTGAGTGGGAGCCCGGCCAGGAGAGACACCGGCCTGGTGGCTGGACAGGGGGCTCAGAGTTGGGGGGACCAGGTCGGTTTACTATAGTCCACATTGCCAGGGTGTCTTGTCTCCACAGCCTGCCTGGAAGCTTTGGGGCCCAAACAAGGAGTTCCCGGGTGGTGAGGACCCCGGTGCCCCAGGCCGACATCTTAGTGGCCTCTGAGTCCCCATGTTCATCCTGGCCCAGAGACCCCTGTCCCCCATTCCCCATCCAGCCCTTTCGGGGGTGAGGGGTGAGCCCCAGCCCCCCACCAAGGCCTCTCTCTCCCCGGACCCTCCAGGCTGGGGCTGCCCACCCCTCTTCTGCTACACCGATTATCTCCAGACGGTCACCTGCACGCTGGAGATGTGGACCCTGCACCCCAGCACCCTCACGCTTGCCTGGTAAGTGGCTGGGCCTCGCCAGCCCTGGGGACAGGGCTCAGGGCGCCCGGAGGGCTGGGCTGGGGCCGGACTGCAGGAGAGGCTGAGTTGGACCTAGTGTGCACCTGGCCAATGATTTAGTGACAACAGGAGTGGCTGCCTCGTCCTGGCTCAGCCAGTCCACCCCAGGAAGACGCTGTGAGCTGGGGACCACTGCGCCCTCCTTACAGGTGACCACTCGGGGCTCACGGGACTTGCCTGAGCACATGGTCAGGTGGCCACAGGGCTGCTCTGTCCAGCTTCAGAAGGTCACTCTCTCGTCCACACAGGCCTGCCCGTGGTTTTAAGGCCCCAGGGCGGTCCATCCCCGGTGTCATGTTTCGAGCACTTAGCAGATGGCCGGCCTCCTGCTAGGGCGTCACATGAATGAATGATCACTTCCAACTCTCCCATTTTACAGATGAGGACACTGAGGTTCAGAGAGGTTAAGCAACTTGCCCAAGGTCACACAGCCAGTGAATGGTGGAGCTCGGGCTGATTCGAATTCAGGCTGCCCGATGCCAAAATCGATGGGTCCTTATTAGTCCACACAGAGCTCTGGACGAGGAAGCGCTGCCTTTCATTCTGTTATCCGCCAGCTCACTCATTCATTCAAAACACGTTTACGTTCCGGCCAGACGCTGTTGCAGGGGTTGGGGGCTGAGCAGGGCTGGAGCCTGACAGGGGCCGATGTCTCTGAGCTGACGCACCACAGGGGGCGGGGGCTGGGGGAGCCGGACCGTAAACACAGATGGCATGCGGGATGCTTTCTGATAGCATTCGCTGTAGAGCACAGGACGCTGGCCCTGCGAGGGACAGCACGTGACATGGCGAGGGTCTGTTTCGGCCCAGGGGGGCGGGGCAGGCTCCCCGGGCGAGCAGGAGGGGCGTTCTGGGCAGAAGCACGGCACGTGCAAAGGCCCCGAGGGGGACGAGCTGGTGAGTGTGCAGGACAGAGAAGAGGGCCGTGTGGCCGGAGCGGAGACAGCCAGGGCGAGGCAGAATGACAAGCAGAGAGGACCAGGAGTAGGCAGGGGCCAGATCTCTCTGTGCAGGAGGAGAGAAGCTGCTGGAAGCTTTTAGGCAGGGGATGACAGGGACTCTTTAAAGATCCCCCTGGCTGGGGATAGATTTCAGGGAGGGCAGGAACACCTCCAGGCAGACATCGCCGTGGTCCAGACTGGAGAATTGGAGAGTGTTTATTCAGCAGAAGTTACTTCCGAAGTTCCTGCTGCAGCAAACTTAGCAGCGAACTTAGTCCGCATGTCTCTACTGGCCCTGGAGGCTGGTCATGTTCAGAACCTGAACGTGTAGGGAAATAAATATCTGGTGAACTCCTATACATACTTCAACACCCGTCAATTTTGTCCAGTGGGAGTTAAAAGGCCAAAGCATTTCCCCAACCCCCAACCTCTCCCACCTGCCAGCTCCCCTGGAAGGTCACGCAGAGCAGGGGATGACCTTCATTTCAGTCCTATCCCAGCGCTCAGCACAGGCTCTAACCAGGCATTCAGTGGATATTGGCCACAGTGCTCCGTCCCCTTCCTGTGGGACAGCAATTGGGTGGTTGGAATTGACAGGGACAGATGTAGACTTGGTCCAAGCAAGAATGGCTCAAATTTCCAAAGTTCACAGCTGCTGCCCTAAATGAGGTAGTGAGTTCCTGGTCCCTTGGAGGCATGCAAGCAGAGCCTGGACACAATCCATGCAGGGGAGGGGACGCCTTCCTCAGGAGAGAGTTGGCTGGACTAGGCGACCCCCAGCCCCACCTCAGACCCCTCCCAGCCCTCAGATTCTAGGCTTCTGCCCCCGACAAGCACCGATCCCCCCTGGCCTCCGGCCGTGACCCGCTGCTCTGTCCTTAAAGGCAAGACCAGTATGGAGAACTGGAGGACGAGGTCACCTCTTGCAGCCTCCACAGGTCCACCCACAACACCACGCATGCTAAGTACACATGCCACATGGATGTGTTCCGCCTCATGGCCGACGACATTTTCAGCGTCAACATGACAGACCAGGCTGGCAACCACTCCCAGGCGTGCGGCAGCTTCATCCTGGCGGAGAGCAGTGAGTACCCTTTGGGCCCCAGGCGGAGGAAAACCCAGGTGGGGGGTGGACCCCTGCCCTCTGGGTGCCCCCTGCCCTGTTCGGTATCCTCACCACCCTGCTTTTTAGATGTACTACTTTTTACTAAGGTGTGATGGGTTGACATTAGGTTTGGGCCTTTACCCCAAAGAGAGGCAACAGAGCTATGGAAAAGGGCTGCCTGGGACTGGGGACTGCTGGGCTTCTGTTCGGGCCCAGCTCCTGCCTGTCTGTGTCACCTTGGACAAGGCACACCTGCCTCTGGGACTGTTCCCCCATTTGTGCAGTGTTCGCCCTGTCCACCCTGACGCTCTGGGATTCTGTCCCCATGAGGAGGCAAGCAGAGGACACTGAGTCACAAGAGAAAAGTTCCAGAGTTCCCTCCCTTCATTGGCTGCAGGGCGCGGGCTGGAGAGGGGGGACGGGGGCAGGGGCCCGGCTGGCGGAGGCAGTTGCATCAGCGGGTCTGGGCCCACACACGGCAGGGCAGAGAAGGAGGCTTGCAGCTGCCACTACCCCTTGCAGGGTGGCCCCAAGTGGCATTTCTCTGTGGCTCCCTCCCTCCCTCCCTCCCTGTCAGGGTCTGAGACCAGCCTGGGCCAGCTGGGGCAGGAAGCGATTTTCTGACCATCACCCCCAGCCCACCGTGGGCCCATCCTCCTGCGGGGCCCTGGGCCTCTCTGCGCTGAGCAGCCTCCTCCTCGGCCTCCTCGGCCCCGGGACACGCAGACGTTTCCCGAGTGTCTGTAGGGAGGTTCTTGGTCACCCATGCCCCCCTACTTGGGTCCTCACCACCCAGCCCAGGCATCCCCCTGCCCTGGGGACGAGAGAAGAAGGCTTAGGGACTGTTTGGGTGAAAAAGGTCCCATCACGGAAATAGCCACGGCAGCCATGCAGCATTCCTGAATTCCATCTCCCACCGGGCCGTGGGGACAGCCCGCAGTGCAAGTTTCACAACCGACCATAAGCAGCTCCGTAGCTCTGTGTTGGAAGCCCCAGAGGCTCGGTTGTTAACTTGACAACTATTTGCTGAGGGCCTACTGTGCGCCGGGCTCTGTTCCAGGAGCCGTGGGCGCAGATGGGGCGGGGACTGCCAGCCCACTGCCCCGAGACGCTGGCCCGGGCAGGGGCAGGCGGCAGACAGACGGC